AAACAGTAGTCATAACACATCTGATGCCCTACTCTCCAGGAGACAGCCTTGGTCTTTGGAATGTGCTTAGCTCATGGCACACTGAATAACACTTCTCCTAACTAATAACTATTCGAAGTGTGAATTCATGAGGATTAACATACATGAACATAAAATATTATACTGTAACGCTGTAAAATTAGACATGAAATAACACAACATAATATAGTTTGCTTCATGTTCGCAGAACCTTATTCCCTGAATGCATTTTCCCCACTACACTGTCGATGTTAAAGGACCAGTGTGCAGGACTAAATTGAATATAGTGGTGAGATTGCAGATTGCCAACCGACCAACTCACTTTACCAAGCATGCAGGAAAAACTACGGTGGCTGAGGCAAAGGCAAAAGGCCTCTATCTAGTGCTATTGTTTGGTTTGTCCATTCTGAGCTATTTTAGAAACATGGCGCTTCAACATGGCGGATATGTGTGACTGTCCGCTTAGCGCAACAGAAAGCTTATTAAATGTTTAAATTGCACAGATACTGTACAGATATATACATACCAGGCTCTGCGCCCCGTAGTCACATTGGCCATTGTGAGCACTGGTAGTCGCTCTGTGGGCCACTTGAGCAAAAACAAAAGTGAGAGAGATGCATCGTCTGCCCAGTTCAACTGTTAGTCATGGTTTTCCAGCTGAAGCCGTAGGGCAGAAGACAATAGTGCTTTTTATTGAAACGTTCAACTTTTCATAAAGTCAATTGACTCTCGTCAATGTCACTCTTTGTGAACTAACCAATCACAGCCTGGATGGGGCGGGACATTAAAAAAGGTTGATGTGCTGCAGTAAACTATATTTTCCTGCTTTTTGTCCTTATGTCACATGCCTGATGGATAATGCTTACAAGCAATATTTGTTACTCCTGCATCCCAGAAGAATGTCATTCAGGTTCTTTTGTGTAATGCCATTTTATGTCCCTGCCCAATCCAGTAACCTTGTCAGCACATCCAATAACCCCGACAGGTTCTTAGTTTGAGTAATGCTGCTTTAGATGCACAGTAATCAACCTGATTGATTCATTTGGAGTGAAGCATCTTACTCCTCTCGCTTGTAGTTTCTGCAAACTCGTGCTGGGTTTTGGATGCACTTCTGTCTTCATAAAGCATGGAAGCTAGCAGTAGTTATCATCACTGTTGGGATCATCATTTCTTTCCCATGCATTAGAAGCATCTTGCCATTTCTCAACTAAAGGAGATAGCTGGCAGCCGCACCATTCTCTTTCCTGGCAGAGAGTTTTAGAAAAATGTATTCTACCAGAGATGGACAGGAATATCAATTGTTCATTGGTTTATTCACAGCAACAGGGATACTCGATGGCAAGGTGTCAGAGGTTCATGTAAACTGTTTAACCTGTAGAAGACCTTAATTGGAGCCCAGCTGATAGCCAGCTTACTCTGTGCATGTTAACTCGGTGTCAGATTCCCTGTGAATGTCTGGAACTTGGTAGGGAGCTGGGTTGATGTAGGACAAGGCTGCCCTCTCAAATGTGTGCCTCAGTATGTCTGACTGAGCTTTATATTTTAAGACTGAAAGTCTGCTAGAACCCATTATACCCTGAACTGAACAGTGGGCCCTTTCTGTTCTCCAGCTACGAGACCAGAGAGATAATAAATCTGGGACTATTTCCTAATGACAGTTATTTAGTGCTGGGAACAGAATCCTGCTGGAAACATCTGGTGGTGGCTCCAAGCAGGTGCTTTACCCTAATTACTCTTTCAAAATAGCTGTGTTGTGCTATATTGTAGTTTGAACAAAGAGGTATAGTTGTAGAGAGAAAGTGAGAGAAACCTTCCTGTGTTGGTGTGTGTTTCCTCTTGCTGCTCCACTTTACTCTGACATTTAAAACATATGCAGCTCATGTGGATTGGACACTGAAGCTGGCTAAATGGCTAAATGTGATATCCTTTTTCCTGTCCTAACTACTTTTCTTTAACTAATCCATCATAATGTTAGGGAAAGCTGTGTGGGAGTCTGTCAGAAATGGTGAATTTGAAGCATCTATTGCAAATGTTTCTGGGAATGCAAAGCTAGTTTCCTTTCCTTCTGTTGGTGTACCTCAGGTTAAAAATTTGTACAGACATTCATGGTTCCTAAACAAGGTATCCTAATGAGTTTGCTGATCCCCAGACACGTAGCGCCATCATCAGATCACATTTTACACTGTCACATACTTTGATTTATGACCAAATACCAGCAAAACTAAAGCATTCCCAACAACCTCAGCTGTGCTTTATGTTTTGTCTTAGCAAATTAGTCCTTTTAAATGGTGCTGAAAGTTCCTAGTTAAGAATTTCCTCCATTTACAAAGCTGCAGAGAGCAACTTTTACTGAGGACTGGAGAGAGCTCCTCAGCTAAGGGAAGGAGTGGGGCTGACCGCTTTCCTATGAATGACATCATGTTTCATGAATGAACCTTCTCACTACATCTTAGAAAGGGCCAAGCAAGAACTTCCATGGATATAAAATGAAGCCAATGCAGAAGTGCCATAAACTGCAGTTCCTCGAACGGCCACTTGAGGCTGGCTTCAAAAGCGAGTCAATCCCGATATGCCCAAATGTTAAAATGCCCAACTGCACAACAGAAATAAACATGTTTACAGGCTGGTGCATAAAACCAATTAAAATGATCAGGTCAGCAGTGTTTGTATTTTGTCAACTTTAAATTCTGATGGATTGTAAAAAGTGCAGGAAAAGGCTTATGTATAAATCATTTCGTATTGGTACTGAAAGTCATGTATCACATTGGCATGGTAGCAAAACATTTCTAACAGTACCCAGTTGGTTCCCCGACCATTCCCCTAGTGCATGCTGGCTCCAAACCGCCACCCGAAGAGGAAAAATAAATGCATCTCTTCCTCTCCCCTAGATTCCTACCCGTATGTGTCGTCAGTGGTTTGCGCCTTCTTCATGTGTCTGACTCCTCTGTGGATCGTCATCTCCTCCAAGCACCCAGCCAGCCGCACCCTGCTCTACTCCGGATGGGAGCCAGTCATCACTGCCATGGTCATCAGCAGGTGTGTGTGTGTGTATGTGTGTGTGTGTGTGTTTGTGTATGTAACTGTGTGTATGTGTGTGTTTAGTCTTCAAAGGGGAAAGAACAGCTATTCTGTGTCTGCGACTCCCAGTTGTCTGGTTCGCCTGATGACTCATCCCCTAAACAAATTGCAGCACCCAAGCACATACACTCTCGGGTCCCCTTGAGCCTGGCAGCCTTACTAATACAGCCAGTAGGAAGGGATTGATTGTCTTTCTCGCTCTCACTCACTCTTCTTTGTGCTCGCCTCTCAACCCACAATGCAGGTGATAGCACATTTCTCAGGCTTTTGTAAAGGGAGTAAGAAAAAACTAATATTGGCTCTGGACAACATAAACTTTAAACTGTTTATCTCGTACTGTGTTCCTCTCTCTCTCTCTCTCT